AAGATATTGGACTGGACAAGTTTTTCTGTCACTACTGGAGTCAAACACAAATGTACATGTACAAATCAATCTCAAAGAAATCTCACCCCACTGTGAGTTTTGATGCAACAGGTTCAGTTGTCAGGAAACTACAGAGACCAAATGGCATGTCTGGCCACATCTTCTTATACCAGGGTGTTCTGGCAGGGGATGCGTGCGCAAGTGTCCCAGTGGTGCAAATGCTGTCAGAGAGACATGATGTTAATGCAATAAAACATTGGTTGACAGAATGGATTCGCGCAGGCGCACCTATTCCAAAAGAGGTCGTGAGTGACTTCTCTCTGGCTCTGCTTGGAGCTCTGGTTAAGGCTTTTACTCCTCACCCTGATCTGAAGACATACATCAACCAGTGTTTTAGTGTCTTACTTGGTAACCAGTCTGCACAGCTGCCACCATGTTTTGTCCGGGTTGATGTTGCACACTGCATCAAGATGATCTGCCAGTGGGACTGCTTGAAAAGAAAACCACATCGAATTAAAGATTTCTTTGTGAGGTCAATGGCACAGCTGCTCAAGTCACAATCACTGAACAATGCAAGAGAGCTACTACGCAGTCTTACCATTGTGGCTCTCAGCGAAGCAGAGGGCAATGACAGCTCAGGGGCTCCCCTCATATCAGAATGTTGCAAGAACTACCTGAAAGCCCAAATTGCAGAAGAGTGTGTCAACGTCCCAGATGAAGAAAGTCAGGACATGGAAGGTGTGGATCCATGTGAAGAAATACACACTGACTTACGGCACTGGGTGACAGAGATTTGTGATGAGAGCAGGTCACTTGCCGTGTCCAACGGTGATCGAGATAACATGCATTTCCTGCCAGAGATTGTTCCCAATATCATCAGACTTGCGAGTTACTTACCCCTCTGGACAGGGCTAATGATCCCTCAGTTCCATAGCACCAACATCACTGCAAGTTCGGCCAATGTGGAAGCAGAGTTCAAAAACCTCAAACACGGCCTTTTCAAGCATGAAAACTTGCCTATTCGGGTGGATCGATTCATTGCTCGACATCTTTCCTTCATTGACGGCAACATGCGCATTTGTTCTGCAAAACAAAAAGTTCAAGAAAATGCAAATGTTGAAAATGTGATGGTCACAGGACCCAATCCATTACCCACTGTGCAAAAAATGGATGCTTCCTGTTCTGTGGAGTCTGATGCCGTCACAAACATCCATTCAACAGATGAAGATGCTGTTGAAAACTGGAGAGGGCTAGCTGATCCACCAAAGAAAAGGAAGAGGAATTCATACCTTTCTCCTTGTTCTGAATGGCTCCATGCAGATCCATCTGTGAGGGGGAAAACTGAAACTGGAACTGTTAAAAAATGGTAACAATCAACAGCCTGTTAAATTCAGCAAATCAAGACTATCTGTGCTTAACACATGTGCATTTGATGCTTTTTGTCAATGCCTATGTTGTGCTTTCTGCGACAGTAACACGTTTGGAAATATTGTTCACAGTGAAGACTCCGACATCCTCCTCCAGCTAGTGAAAAGCATAGCCACAAAGGGCCTTACCCCACAGGCCTACATTCAGAGGGCAGAGTTGCTGAGTGGAATGTTCACCGCTGTCCGATTGAGGTCTGGTGCTCTCCAAATCGATGCACAGTGCCACATCTCTGCAATCATTACAAAGGCAATGACAAAACTTGCAAGTGTTAACTTTCAAAAACAGTGCACCTCACAGTATTGCAGCCTCAACACACAGGTCACAAGGGAAATTCCATTGGTTTCAATCTCTGTTGCTGTACTGCAGGATTTTGGCATCGCTCATCTGCAGACCGCAGTTGAACAAGGACTTAACCTTCCAGAGTCCCCCTGCCTCAGGCCAATCCAAAGTCCATCTCAGTGTCCCTCTGCATTTAAGACAGAATCTGCTTCAGGAAAAGTACTCTGTACAGGGAAAGTCTCTCACAGCTACACTGTAGGTGAACTTCTGTGGATTGATACTGACCTTGGAACAGTTACAGCAACTCCAACACAAAGGAATTCCTGCCCAAGAGAATTTCCATTGTGTGAATTTCCCTCCAGCCTGGTGCTCCAAGGAGAGACATTTACCTTAAGGGCAGCCATTGGTTTCCAAGGAGGCTTAACGCAGGATGCTCTTGGACATTATGTGGCGTACTGCAGGAGGTCTCCTTGTTTCTGGGAGATGTACGACGACCTTAGAAGTGGAGTGACAGGAGCCACCGATAAAAAAAAAATATGCCCACATGCAATTTTTTACACAAAATAGTGATTGTTTGGTTGATGAAGATGTTTTTGTTCAATTTTCTCTTTAAATGTCCATTGTTTGAGTAAATGGATTGAATTGTACACAGTTAAACATATTTTTGGTTAATTTCTTGAGTCATCCGTTCGACATACATTGTAGGCTACAGGTATATTAATAAACAGTGTTTTTATGACAATGTTGAAAATACTGCTGTTTTTCTCCAGGGAAAAAATACTCACATGACAGCATCACAAGTAAAAACATTTACTTTGGAGTTTGTGTTAAATTAAAAACATCATGTGAGCCTCGCTGTGTCGGTTGCTAGTTCAAAACGCACAGTGTAACAATTTTGGTTTAGTGACTTAATTTACCGTTTGGCTCTTACCGTGTTACTTGTGCAACGTATTAGTAAATACGGCCGTGGTAAAGACAAAACCTTTACCAGCACACACGATTTGGAGCCATTGGGCGGCTGGGAATGTCAATTATACAAACACCGAACCAGCACAAACGAAGTACAAACGATTGAGACAAATTTCACTTGATTAGGAGCAAGTCGGGGGCTGATGACGTCATCACCCATTATTGAAAACCAGAATATTATGAAAAACTAAAGCAGCACTAACGAAGCACAAACGATTGAGACTATTTTGACTTAATTCTGAGATTGTGGGGGGCTGAGTGACCTCTGAATGAACTATAACGTATTCTTTAATATCTAAAAAACTAAAGCAGCACAAACGGAAATATTTGCTGCACAAACCAGCACAAACGGAGCACAAACGATTGAGACTATTTTGACTTGATTTGGAGCAAGTGGGGGGGGCTGGTGACGTCATCAGCCATTAATAAAAACCGGAATATAAAAAAAACTAAAGCAGCACAAACGAAAATATTTGCTGCACAAACCAGCACAAACGGAGCACAAACGATTGAGACTATTTTGACTTAATTCTGAGATTGTGGGGGGCTGATGATGTAATCGACCATTATTAAAATGTGAAATAGAAGAAATACCGCAACAGCACAAATCCTAATTTTAACAGCACAAACCAGCACAAACGGAGCACAAACGATCGACACTATTTTGACTGAATTCTGAGATTGTGGGGGGCTGAGTGACCCCTGAATGACCTAAAAAGTATCCTTTAATATAAAAAAAACTAAAGCAGCACAAACGGAAATATTTGCTGCACAAACCAGCACAAACGGAGCACAAACGATTGAGACTAGTTTCACTTCATTCGGAGCAAGTGGGGGGGCTGGTGACGTCATCAGCCATTATTAAAAAACAGAATATAAAAAAAACTAAAGCAGCACAAACGGAAATATTTGCTGCACAAACCAGCACAAACGGAGCACAAACGATTGAGACTAGTTTCACTTCATTCGGAGCAAGTGGGGGGGCTGGTGACGTCATCAGCCATTATTAAAAAACAGAATATAAAAAAAACTAAAGCAGCACAAACGGAAATATTTGCTGCACAAACCAGCACAAACGGAGCACAAACGATTGAGACTAATTTCCCGACTTTTTGCGTTGGGTGGGGGGCCAACTTCACGCAGGTGGTCCAGACTGGTTCACATGCTAACAGAACCATGTAGAATCAATAATTTTAATGATGACACTTCACGGAGTTAACTTTCAGTTTGCTGTGATCAGGTCCTAACATGAAGACTAGGGTCGTCCACTCAACTGAGGGAACTTGCTCAACCCACAAGACACAGTCCATCTGTACTGCCAGAATGTTCCGGAAGCGAGGAGGTACTCTGAACAAAAAAAAAATATATATATATTTTCAGTTAAAAAACATATTTTTCAATGTAGAAAAGGACAGTGGGCTGGATACAAACCCATGCCAACTCGTATGCGTGTGGTGGAGTTGGCGGGCTGAGACCCATTAACCACCCGAGGCCACAGTCGGGATGGGTTCTGATGTCATGCACAGTGAACATCAAACGAGTGCTCGTTTCAGACCCCCATCCAAACCCGACAAACAACATCAGCACCACTGGGAATATGCACTTCTCACTTTAGACCCCCCTAATACCTCACACAGTAAATACTGCCGTTCTAGAACTTAAACACCAGTTAGGATTTTATATTAATGTTGAGACAGAATAGTAATGATTTACAGTTTTGTTTGATGTGCTACCTTTGTATTTTATGTATTTGTTTGAACCTGTATAGTTGCGTGTGTGTATTAGAGCTGTGTACTGAAGCACAAATATAGACTCATATTGAATCTCCCAGTGTAACAAAGATATGTACATTTATAATATATTTGTGACTAACCAGTGACACCGGGCTTTGTAAAAACCCATCAGATGTTTTCTGAAAAGTTAAATGTGCCCAAGTTGCCGTGGAAACAAAGAGGATATTAAATTTGCAGTTTCCTTTCTCTTTGCTAGGATATTGAACTCAGCAGTTGTATTATAATGACATATTGACTAAAGGGAACAAACGTAACGCACTTCTAAGGATGTTATTAATTCTATAAGCACATTGTGGACTGTTTCTACTATAAAAAGTGTTGTTTCCAATAGTGCACTGTTTTCTATGTTACACATAACCTTAAGTCATGATCTATAAAATCTTTATAAAGGATTTATAAAATGTTGATAACTGATTGAGGAAGCATATTTAAAGTGGTACTGGTTTTCTATGTTGTATATGTTCCTAATGATTCAATACAAGAAATATAAAAAACAATATACAACCTGTGGTGTTTGGATCTGCTCTTATCAGTTGGTGGCTCAGTGGTAGAGTGCGTGCCTTGCATGTATGATATCATGGGTTCAATCCCCAGCTTCTCCCCAGGTCGCCGTTGCAAATGAGAAATTGTACTCAATCGGAAATAGTTATCGGATTTACATTTCCTGTCAGAGATAAAAGATCTGACCAACCTCCATGTTTCTTCGCTCCATTACAGCATAGAAATGATGCACTCAGAGAGTAGAAGATTGGTTCCTCACAGTCCCACCCCAAGTCACCCAATAACTGGGATGTTTCCACCTCCCTGACCAATAAGAAACTACTCATGCTTCATTCATCCCCAGATACATTACCCCTGACAGAAAATAGCGTTTAACCTTTCCATTTTTCACGAGTTCCTCGGCCAATGTTATCAATCAGAACCAAAGACAACGTTTCACTAAAACGGGAAGTGGCCCCTAAACCAGATGAGTAGTGGATCAGCTGCTGCTTCAGATTGGCCTTGCACAAAGTTTCATGTGTCCCTCTACTGAGTGATGTGTTTGCTTTAGGAGCAATCTTCAGGCTTTAGTGAAAAAGATATTCTTATGACAATTTAATTCAAACAGAGAGAATACAGACACTCAGTCAAGTACCAGAGGTAATAAGTCTGATATTGTGGTAACAGAAAACAGGGTGTAAAAGGTT